TAAAAATAGAGCTCTAATTGAGTTAAATCTGTTACTCAGTAACAGAGAAATTAAAAATATATTACGGTTTAAAGACTTCATAAGTATGTGAAGATCTGTTATACTGAATTATAGAAATATCAATATGTTCCAAATGAGGTTCACCCGGTTTAGTCAGTGGATCTTAAATTGTAATTTGAGCTCTGTGATTGGTGGTATAATTTTCTCCACTCATCATCTCATTATTGGAGTCAACACAGTGGTGCAGCCTTGATGAGATTTTGTAGCTCCCTGAATGCGCTATACAACCAATTGAGCAAGCACACCAAGCACTTAAAACCATGTAATGTGAATTCCTCTTGATGGATGCCTTTCTAAAGTAACTCCATTGCACAGTTTTTCAGGAGTGCCTTAGGGATGATACAGAACTTCATACACTCTTTCTGCCTCAATGCACAAGGACTGTTGTGGAATCGTTCCCAAGAGCTGATTTTTTTTAACCATCTCAAAACTCTAAAGTAGCATTTGAGGGAAAAAAGCTCCATCTGCGATTGACTCCACTGGTGTGACATTTGAAGCCAGACAAATGTACAGTTTTAGATGTATCAGCGTCAGTCAGTTCAGTCTACATACTATCCATAAGAGTGTAGTGAATTTGCTTTTGCCAAAAGTGTAGTGATGTGTACTCACATCACCAATGACGTTATGATATTTGGATCACGTGTCATTTAAGGTGTGGTTATGAGTACATCACATAAGAAAGATTGGTGGGATCTCTAACTTGTAGAACCTCTTTCTGTATCATCAACACAAGGAAGACACAAGTGTAATAAAATACATTTTATTAACAAAGGATAGACGAGTAATCACAACTACTAAATGAATACCATAAATGAAATAGGAATAAAGTGCATAAAATGCAAGTGATTATGTTGGATGTTGCTATGTCAGAGCTACGTTATCTGGAAAGATAAACTGTTGCTACTCTAAAACAAATAAGGTGAAGAACCTTATTATGCATGAAACAAATATGTGAAAGATTATTTGTAATCAAAAGCAATCAGCTATATAATATCTAATGTAAATTAGAAAAATCATATACTGATAATGTCTAACAATGCCAAGGTCTCTGGAAGAGGTTTGGATAAGTGATAGTTACGTTCTCTGTGGTCGAGTGAGCAGTCCGGTGGCGGTGACTTCATCCACTAGTTGTGCTGGTATCAATGCAGTGGGGAAAGGAGCAGGAATCCGTTTCGACAGCCTTGAACACGAAGTGCTGTAGTATGCTGATCTCCCGGAGTATCAAAGGGTCCTAAAATCTGGAACACGCAGATGTGGCCCTGGAGTAGGTGTAAAAGGTCCTTGCGTGGAACACACAAGCAAAAGTACCTTGAAGTGAAGGTTTGCTCGCCGGAGCTTAACCTTGTTGCAGATGTCTGTGTGTCTTCTGCCTCTCTGGGCTAGAGACTCAGAACTTGGTCAATTCAATTTGTCTCTCTAGGATGGAGACTCAGGACGTGCTGCATCTGTTGTTGTCTCGCTGGACGAAGACTCTAAATGTAGAATATCTCCCTCCTCACAGGCTGGAGGCTCAGAACGTGGTATCTGTTATTGTCTCTCTCCTTACAGGACCGAGACTCAGAACGGTTGTGTCTGTTACAGTCTCTGTGGACAAAAGACTGGGTTGAAAAAATGGGTTGTTTCTGTTGCTGCCTTCCCTGTAACAGGTTGGAGACTCAGAACTTCGGTGTTTCTGTTAGTGTCTCTCCCTTTTAAGACTCAGACTCGGAACTTGCTCTGTTAGTGTCCTTTCCCTGACAGGACTCAGACTTAGAACAAGTAGTGTCTTTTGGGAAGGTATCTTTATCCCTTTCTGATGAGGAGGAGATTGCAATCTGGCGCTTCTCCATTTCAGTGCTGTGATTGGCTGGGGGGGGGGGGCACAGGCCCACCCTTATTTCCTCCTGTGGAACTTATTTGCATAGTAACACACATTTAGAAAAGTGTCACTAAGTCCAAACATGATGGAAGAAGATTGAAATGAATGCATGCATGCATTCATTTGTCCATTAACAGCGTTTGTGTAAGATGTTGCACTACACATTGCTGTCACTGAGAATACTTATTTCTCTGAATAAGTATAATGTGTGTTGTAGTTTGCATCAGTTTAAGGGTTGAGAATATAGTTATGAATGTATTTGGATGGAACTCTGTGATCTCTCTGTTTCTCCCACTGCTGCTGCATCCAGAGGTCCTAAGGAATTTTTATGGGCCAAAATTCGTAGGAATCAGTCTGTTGGTGGTTGAAGGGCAAAAACTGCATTTTGACCAATGAGACATCCTGTCCTTCCCGGGCTTTGTACCAAAGGTCTTCTTCTTGCGCTCTAAGAGGTATCTGGCTGTTGTGCTAGTATCTTTATCTGATGGGTTTTGGACAGTTTGTTTATGTTAGCCCACCAAGATCCAATCAAAATGTAGCAAAGTATTGTGGTCAGAGAGGGGCCCCGCCATAAACTGGGCCCTGGAATGTGCTGTCCACTACAAGAGCCTTTGAACCGAAACCAAGAACCTGGTCTTCTCCAATAAAAATGAAGCGAACACTTAAATGTCTCAAGCACTCAGATCTAAAATTACTCTTGCTTGTTTTATAAAACTCTGTGATTGATGGAAAATTATCTATGAATAGCCTGTATGCATGTAGTCTGACACTGTGGTGCCTACTACTACGTATTTCCTGTGTACATCCAGCTCATTATTTTGTGGCAAATGATTCTATGGACTTTATAGCAAACATATATACAGTGTCCAAGAGAGTTCAACGCACTGCAACTGGAGGAAAAAAAACACACACACATGCAAATAGAATAAAAAACAGTAAATGAAGAAAAAGTCTTTTATCAGTTTGACAGCACGTGCTGCAAATACTCACAACGTATAGCACAGACCACAATGGAAATGTTTCAAGGGGACCCCAACAAGTGATGAACCTGGCTGGGACATGCTTATTGTTCAATATGTACTTGTGGTGTTGTCGATGATTTTAAATGATTTTAAAATCCTGATTGTATGATTCCTTAGCCGTTTGGATGTTATTAGTATAAATAATATGACAAAATACACAATTAATTGTGAAACGTTATGTAATCTGGGTAACTTCCACAACTTGTTGGAGTCCCCTTGAAACATTTCTGTTGTAGTCTGTTCTATTTGCATCGATTTTCTGTATTTGATTGCAATGTGGGTATTTGCAGCGCATATACAGTATGTATTTGGTTGCTTTGTGAGTATTTGCAGCACGTGTAGTCAAACTAATGATGTTTTCTTAAATTGCTGGTGTTTTTTAAATTTACATATGTTTTCTTCAGTTGCAGCACAAGCTGTCTTGGTCACCATACATATCTCTTTTAGGGCTGAGTATCACCAACAACCTCACAATTTGACATGCATCCCATTCAGTTTTGGGTTGCACAGATTTGTCAAGTAGTTGTCACTAGTCCGTGCACTAGTCTGTGTCGCTGTTTGCTGATCACAACTTCAGTTGTGCTTGTTCAATTGTTTTCAATTGAATTCAGTGGATATTTGGTCACAATTTAATAAAACACATTAATAAACATGCAAGGATCGATTTTATCACTGCAGTTCCAGAATAAGTAGAATCATGATTCATTGATTAACTTTATTGGCACATTTCTACAAACACTAAAATAAAAACCTACCCTTAACATAAACTGTCACCCAGACTGTCCCCATCTGCCCTGGGCCCATCAATAAACCCTCTGAAACACTTCACTTCCTCATTCACTCTCACTCATGTCTCCTCTCAGTGCCACATCTATCAACTACTTCTCTTCTCCACTGACGGAATGAATTATGTTCTGTTCAGTATGAGCAGACTGTTTTATGAACTGTGTCATTAAAATTTCTGAGAATGTTTACAAATGATTTATTTATATTATTTATTGTGATGATTAGTATTTGTAATCAAAGGCAAAAAAAAGAAATGTTTTTAATTAAAACTGTGATCTTTTTTATTAATAATAATAATATTAATGATATCTATAGAAACTACGGATCCAAGGCACTTCTTCCAGTTCCAAAATGTTAAAAAGCCTTTATTCAAACATGGTTCACTTTAGAAACATTAAAAATGACTAGAACACTGCACGCTGATGCATTTCAGCCATCCAGCCTTCCTCCGAGTGTGTCAAGTACAAAATTAGTCACAGGTGTAGATATAATCAGTTGCTCAGTAGAAATGGGAGAAACCAAAATACTCATTACAGGGGGGACCAATAGCATAATTAACAATTTCGAAATATAGTCACATGTACAAAAACAAAGAAACAACAAAAAAACATTATATATATATATATATATATCTTGATAATAATAATAATGATCGTACTGATAATCATTTCACAAATATGGAGTTAAATTTAATTCCTCATTCAAACCAGGAAAAATAGTGGCTTTTAGCTGAAAAATCCAAAAGGCTTCCCCTTGTAGTCTATCACCCTTTCTAATCGATCCAGTTACAATTTCCAAACCAATCATTCTTAAAGTAGATGGATTTGAGTCATGTGCAGATGCATAATGTACTGCCATGGGATAATCTTTGTTTCTTGTACGAATTGCATTTTTGTGATCCCATAATCTATCTCGCAGTCTACGTTTAGTCTGACCCACATAGAAACAGTTACAAGGACATTGAAACCTATAAATTACATGCATACTTTTACAATTAATGAAGGATCCAATTAAATACAGTTTCTTTGTGCAAACATCCATAAATGATTTAGTTTGAATTACATTCTCACAAGGATTGCAATGTCCACACTTAAACATGCCTCGTATTCCTCTGTCCAGCCATGTTGTCTGTTTCATAGCAGGCAAGTGACTTCTCACAACTCTGTCTCACAATAATATTAATGACTTATCAAGGATGATTTAAATAATAATCCAGTCATATTAACTTGCCAATTACAGCATTCATTTGTGTGTTTTACATGTTTGCCCATTAGGTACAAGCAATGGCTCTGTGCTGGTGTACAACTTGACCAGTGGCCTCCTGCACAAAGAGCTAAGTGTCCATTCCTGTGAAGTCAGGTAAGTTGGTTTACTCTGTAATCATATACCTGTACATGCATTCTGTTATGTAAGAATATCATACAACTGAACAGTGGTTTTTAGTTCTGATTTATACTACAGGGCCGTTGAATGCTTGAATCTGATTGGCGTGCAAGGTGTGCAATTATTTTCAGGGAAACGCATGGTGAACATAGTTCCAGGCAGCTCTAGACGGCATTACATGTAAATATCACTTCACCAAATGATTTCAGTTATTTCAAAAGTCCTTATAGCTTACAACAGCAAAATAACCAAAGCCCACAACGACACTGGCCAAACAAATAAATATAGTAAGCAATAGGATACAAACGAGAGTTTATTTCCATGTTTTGCCACAAAATTACGTTTTATTATGTACGTAAAGCACATACTCTATTTCTCCCGCTCTCTCTCCCTTGACTCACACACATAGTTTGCACACACGGATACATACGCTCTTATGTTGTTAGCGCTATCAGTTTTATCAGTAAAATAGTTTAGAAACTTAAAAGCTACATGACATTTCTCACAAGCGAGGTAACGACTGCGCTGTTCATGAAGAAAATTAATTTAGTCAGTGTGTAGTGTGTATGTTTGGGCATTAAAAAGATCTAGAAAGTTACAAATCTCAAAGTCCTCTCCAAAGGGAGATATTTAGTTTTCAAGAACTACAGCAAACGGCTCGTTTGGACTACAGCGTTTGGTTTCTGGGCTTTGTTGTGTTAACAAAGAGAGACATGCAAAACATGCAGAGTGGGGGTACCGCTGGAATTGAGAACCGCTGGTCTAGAACAATTCTTACAAATAACAACATCACGTAGCTGGGCGCCGCGGACAGATGCCGAACGGCGCCGCCAGTGTGCCTACACTCATAGAAAATAATGTATTTAAATTTTAAAGACGTGGCGCGACACTGCACTTCTCGTCCAGTGTGCGACTGCCTGAAACGCTGTTTTTTTTCACCTCCGTGCCCAAACGTCTTTGTTTGGGCTTCCGAAAGCGGATGATGTCCGGAAACAGTGGTTGCAATTTACTTTTTAACTCTGTTCCTTAGCATTATAACCCCAATTTGCTATTGTGTGCTGCGCATTTTACTGAGGACAGCTTCCACATCACGAGTGAGAAGTGCCGGATTCGCCCAAAAGCTTTTGTTGAAAGACAGAGCAAGGGGGCGTGGCAGTACTGAAACACCGTCTAAGCTGTTCGCCAATCACAACTCACTGGGACAGCTAACCAATCACATCACATCACATTTTGTTTTTCGGAAGGCGGACCTTCATCAAAGCCGGAACTAATCGAGCCGTTTGTGCCAGCCTGGGGAGAAAGGTATTTTAATAATGTAAATGATGTGAAAAATTATGCGTTTTTCGAACCACCAAGCACGAGAGCATGTTCTAGTACACCCCCAAAACAAAATCAAGACTTTGTAAAAGAGCATAATAGGACGCCTTTAAAGTTTCACTATTAGTAGAGACGCTGCTGCCGAACACTTTTGAGAGACACACAGACTCTCAGAGGTAATTCACATGCTCTCTCTCTCTCTCTCTCTCTCTCTCGAATAACTTCATTAAATAGTTGCATAAGTCTGCTATCAACGGCTCAGTCCCCCGTTAATAGGTCTAAATTAAATCTCCGCTTCGCATCGTGGCCGCATCACCACCTCGGGTGTGCATTATTTTTCTAATAATTCAACGGCCCATCGTCAGTTATTCCTTACGTATTATACACTATGCACTTATACACAGTTTTTACACCTGGGGCCCATTCTTCGTACCTCGCTTAATACTTCTGAGATGATTTGAAAGATGCCAGATCTTCTAATCGTGATAACTGGTCTCTGGCTAATTTGGTTCTTCAAACAAATTTGCGGATTTGATTAAAATATCTGGATTAAGTTGTCTAAGATTACTGCATGTTCTCGTGTTCCCCGAAAAGGGCAGATGTATCAATACTCGAAACCATGATCAGCAATGCAGCGGTTGGCTGGCGGCAAGACAGCAACGTAATGACATCCTATAATTAAAAAAGACACCTGATGAAAAACTGGACAAATTTCTGGACTTTTATAAGGAAACAGCCAAGCGAACAAAACTACATAAATTGTATAATAGATCAATTAAATGTGCACTGTTTTTGTTTTATTAATTTTTTTTTTACATGATTCCCAATTATTTATATTCACATTTATAGTATATGTACAGGCTTTATACTTTTTTATTTCCATGTTGTAATTAGCAATTCATTTAATGTTATCTTTGAAACAGATTTGTTACGTGACAGCATTAATTAAAGTTTCTTAAGGGTCAAGATCAAGTTGTCTGCATCTCCTGCGCTCCATCAAGCCACTCCCATAATAGCTGTCACGCTGTCACCAAATGCACGGCTCAGAATAACTGTATAGCATGTGTAAGACTCCAATGCAATTATAAAGTAATTATTTTTTCATTTTTTCATATTTCAATAAGTAAAACTGACTGTGTCTATAGTATTATAGACTACACAACAAAATGATATTATTTTTTAATAATTTTTTTAAATTACTGTCCCTGGATCAGTAGGGTACTCTTCTAATAAATTAGCAGTGGCTGGGACAGATTTTAAGTATCAATTTTGCTTAAAAATATGCGATCTAATCCTGTTTACATGAAATAAGCCTGCTCCCGAGCAGGTTTAATCTTACGGACCTGTTGCTATGACAGCAACTCCGGGATGAGCTTTGAAGAACCAAGCAATCCAAGATCATGCCAAATCGTCAACAGTCAATTCCAGCTAACTGAGTTAGCGAAGTATGAAGAACGGATCACAGGCTTTTTTTAAATGTTAGTTTTGGACTCTGCACATTTTCTCCCTTAGTTTTGTTTAGGTATAAATGAAAACTGCAGTCATGCTCTGATCCACATCAAAATAACTGGTCAGAGATCATGTGAATGTGGTAGTTTCAGTGAAAATCAGCTCTGGAGCAGTTTACATGTAGTTAGAGAGCAATTTAACCCAATGGATCAAGCTGTGTCATAATTCATAATGGGAAATGCATTACATAAAAAACAGAAGTGGTTAATTCTGTGAGTGGGCACTAGGGGTGTCCTCGACTAAGAATTTTCATAGTCGAATCGAAATTTTCGAATCTTGCCGATATTCGACTGATAGTCAAATCATATGTTTGGGAGTGGGGGGCAAAATACATTAACAAGAGTCAAGTCAGACATTCGACAGTCATAATTACGTTAACACAGGGAAAATCTGTAATGGACGCCTCGCAGATACAAACGGTAAATAATGTTTTATGATTTGATTAAAAAATAGTTATCATTAAACGTCAGCGAAACCCTAAGAATTCACAAAATTTTTACAATAGTGCTCTCATTATAACTTTATGTATATGACAGTAGTTATTAATGTTCTCCATTTCTGTTTTGAGCTGTACGTGCTGAAGATGACCAGTAGAATGAAGCAGCAGGTTTTTAATCAATGGGGTTTAACTCATCATTTATCTCATATAGAATATGCTTCGTTATTTATACAACATAACGTTATTATTACGACTTATCAGCTATCTGCACAAAATGCCCCAAATGCACAAATGTGTCTGTGCGGCTCTGAATGAACTCCTTTTGTGGACGTGTTCTTCACGCAACAACGTGCAGAAACACGGCAACTAAACTCTAAAAATTTACAGCGTTTTATTATAATAGTGTTCTCATTATAATCATTATAATCATCAGAACATAATCATTATGTTCTCAACACACAGCCAATAATGTCTAAACCGCTGGCCACAAAAGTGAGTACACCCCTGCTCTCTCTCTCTCTCTCTCTCTCTCTCTCGAATAACTTCATTAAATAGTTGCATAAGTCTGCTATCAACGGCTCAGTCCCCCGTTAATAGGTCTAAATTAAATCTCCGCTTCGCATCGTGGCCGCATCACCACCTCGGGTGTGCATTATTTTTCTAATAATTCAACGGCCCATCGTCAGTTATTCCTTACGTATTATACACTATGCACTTATACACAGTTTTTACACCTGGGGCCCATTCTTCGTACCTCGCTTAATACTTCTGAGATGATTTGAAAGATGCCAGATCTTCTAATCGTGATAACTGGTCTCTGGCTAATTTGGTTCTTCAAACAAATTTGCGGATTTGATTAAAATATCTGGATTAAGTTGTCTAAGATTACTGCATGTTCTCGTGTTCCCCGAAAAGGGCAGATGTATCAATACTCGAAACCATGATCAGCAATGCAGCGGTTGGCTGGCGGCAAGACAGCAACGTAATGACATCCTATAATTAAAAAAGACACCTGATGAAAAACTGGACAAATTTCTGGACTTTTATAAGGAAACAGCCAAGCGAACAAAACTACATAAATTGTATAATAGATCAATTAAATGTGCACTGTTTTTGTTTTATTAATTTTTTTTTTACATGATTCCCAATTATTTATATTCACATTTATAGTATATGTACAGGCTTTATACTTTTTTATTTCCATGTTGTAATTAGCAATTCATTTAATGTTATCTTTGAAACAGATTTGTTACGTGACAGCATTAATTAAAGTTTCTTAAGGGTCAAGATCAAGTTGTCTGCATCTCCTGCGCTCCATCAAGCCACTCCCATAATAGCTGTCACCACTCAAATTAATGCACGGCTCAGAATAACTGTATAGCATGTGTAAGACTCCAATGCAATTATAAAGTAATTATTTTTTCATTAATAAATATTTCAATAAGTAAAACTGACTGTGTCTATAGTATTATAGACTACACAACAAAATGATATTATTTTTTAATAATTTTTTTAAATTACTGTCCCTGGATCAGTAGGGTACTCTTCTAATAAATTAGCAGTGGCTGGGACAGATTTTAAGTATCAATTTTGCTTAAAAATATGCGATCTAATCCTGTTTACATGAAATAAGCCTGCTCCCGAGCAGGTTTAATCTTACGGACCTGTTGCTATGACAGCAACTCCGGGATGAGCTTTGAAGAACCAAGCA